CCGAACCGCTCGAGAGGTGAGCGTGTCACGCCACTTCCGCCCCCTCTTCGATATAGAGTGCCCATACCAGCTGATCTACAGCTGTCTGTCGATGCTAGCATGACCATTGCCGACGACCTCCTAGTTGGTTGCTAGCTCGTCCATTATCGGAGGTCAACGGGCAAAGAAAGGGGTCCCATTTTGCGCTTCTTGACGGATTTCTTTGCTTTTTTCGCCACTGGGGCATTATTCAGCATCTCCACTTCCACTATGAACCCAACCCAAACTTATCGTAATCCCTCGCTTTAAGAGGTGCTAAGAGCCAGTCCCTCTTTAAGAGAGAAAGAGGGGTCCAAGCAGATGTGTCGCGACACTGTCCCGACTCAAGAGTGCGCGGTAAGGACGCTGAGGTCGTGCCTTGTCCATTGCCAGCGCTGCCATACGCGTATCAATCGTGGCGTAGTGCGTCTGCGCCCTCTCGCAACGACGTGCTCTCTCCTGGTTTCAATCGCTTCGCACCATTGCGTCTCTCCGTTATACCAGGATCCACAATCAAAATTTCTATTTGTTTTCTATGGCGCTTTTCGCTTGTTCTCCCCACTAACATTCCTCATCGCACTTCTTGCCTAATTTTTGATCAAAATGACACACCAATTCGGTCCCTACCCGTGCCTTTGACCGAGCATGTGGCTCAGTTTCGGTAAAGCGCATTCCACGATTAATTTCGCTGCGGCAATTCTGCTCGCAAATGAGGTGTTGGATCTGCAACAGTGAAGTTAGGGTCATTTTTTGCGATGCAGCTCAAAACGTGTGTTAACAATAAGTATCGAAGGGTTGCATCGATATACCCTATGCATCGATGCCCGCCCACAGTTGCGGTGTTTGCATCTCGGTCTCTGCTGTGCTCTCCTCTTTCCTACCTTGAGTATGTTGAATTGCTTTTGTTTGTAGTATCTTTTGTGTCACAGACTTGCTCACTATTCGAAATATTTAAATCAAAGTGATTTCTGGAATTTCTCTTACATTGTTTCGGCTGTGGTTCCACTTCTCATCCACTCCCATTTCCCACCACCAAAACTTACACCTAATTTGTCGAGGAATGGCTTCAGACAGTTGTATGAAATAATTTCAGAAAAAAGCGTTCTCTTCATTGGTTGAGCTCAGTAATTTCCCGCGGCCAATACTTTATGTCGTGTCACAGAAAATATGAATTTCCTTTGCGTTTCATGCATGTGCCTCTACATACAATATGCAAAAATCGTTTCGGAAAGCGACCCATGACCGAGTTGGCTCCTTTTGACACCAGTATCAATATTACCGTTTACTTTCAGTGCCTATCCTCGATGCTCGTCCTTACCATCGTCCCAAGTACTTCTACGTCGCCAATGGACGACATGTTGTGGATTACCGTCTGTGCGACCATCAGCGTCAGTGTGTTCGGTGTCGTCATATATCAGCATGTAAAACGCCAGCACAAGAAACAAATGGAAATTCTCACAGAATTGATGCTCCAACCCAGAAATTTCAAGTTAGTTGAATGAATTTTTTCTTGCGAACATTTAATGTAATTTTCTTTATTATTAAATCACTTTAAGCTAGCAATGCAACTACATATTAGGAGCATGGCTTTATATTGCGAATATTTTAGTAATTTCTTTATATTATTATCACTTTAATGCATAGCACAATTCCAAGTATCATATTAGGAGCAAAAGCTGAAAAGCAGAAAGCTCCCATGTTGAAAGGACGCAGAAATGTACTAAAGAGCATTATAGCCAGCGCAGGCTAGACAGATATTCAATAACACACTTAACTTCAAGGCTCGTTTTGTTTTCAGCCAGAGTAGCTGCGATCGCTCTTGAAGCGCGATTGCCATGGTTCGACATCACCGCATGATTTTTGATGACCGAAACTGAGCGAAGTACCACGCCGTGTTTAAAATCTGCAAAGGGTGTTCGATTGGACCAGGGTCGTTCGAACATTTTCGGAGATTTTGCGACCCCCTAGCTCGAGGGGGTCCAGTTGCGACCCCCTGTTTTTGTTAATAAGAGTGCTAGACATGAATCCGTTGCGCCAGAAAGCGTCTGCGCGTCGTCGCGTCGGCCTTGGAGCGCGGCAGGTATCACCCGGGCGCTGGAAGAACGGGACGCGGCGAAGAAAAAATTTTAGAGGGGAATAACTTTCTTGGGACGTATTTTTTTGACTTGTTGAGGTAGATTTTGATTGTGCCTGAGGTGCGCTTCCAGAAAACTACAAGGATTGCCTAACTCTCCGGAAAGTACTTCTGTTAGAAGTGGAAAACCCAAAATTCTAAGAAGGCGCACCTTCAACTTTGAAGGCCCATAAAATCTTTCGTATGCGACATTTTGGAAATCTGTAAAAAGTTTTAGAAACTTCAAATATTTCTCTAACAAAATAGTATAAAAAAGTTAGTGATTGTCCCCTTTTAAAATTGTCCCCTTCAAACATTTTCCGTGCAAAAGCGAGTTTTTGGGCTTTCAGCGACCATAACTCACTTCATTTTCATTTCTGTGATGCACTTTTTCATGGGGTGAAAGTACAGGATTTGCTCTTTCTAACAAGCACCAAACCGTTTTTCAAAGTTCATTTTTCGAGAAAATCACACGTTCGAACATTTTGGGGGTTTGCCGGGGAAAACCAGGCCCGAACCGTTTTTTGAAATCGCGAGTTTTGGGCTTTAAGCGGGCAACTCACTTCATTTTCATTTTTGAAAGATGAACTTTTTTCATGGTGTGAAAGTACAGGATTTGCTCTTTCTAACAAGCACCAAACCGTTTTTCAAAATCCATTTTCCGAGAAAATCACACGTTCGAACATTTTTTCCCATAGGTTTTTGAGCAGCACATGCGAGTTTTTGAGCTTTCAGCAATAATAACTTCCTTCAAAGAACTTGTTGGGGAGGGCGAAGACATTTTTGAAGACTACGAGATTTCTGCTTTCTTATATGTTTTACCGTTGTCTGGAAGAATCGTCCTCAGAAAATTCAGGTCCCGAAGAACTTTAATTTCAGCCCCGAGAAGTCAAACCTTTCATAGGGATGCATTCAACTGTTCTTTATTCCTCAAGGAAAACACCGTAATTTGCCTAAAACTGTCTCTCTGTGCATAATTAATCGAATCTAATGCGGTCTGCACAAACAATTCTTGCCCTCGGATACGCCACGCACGCGCCTGTGGCTGGCAGTCCTCGAAATTGCGACCCCCTTCCGACCAAAATGCGACGGGTGTATCCCAAATGGCGCGGTCACATTGCCATTGGGGCGCATGCGCTGTAGTTGCCACCCAAGCGCCTCCCATATCTCGACCAGATAACTCGTCCGGCTCACCGAACGAGCAGATTATCGTGGTGATCTGTCTACAATGGAGCGCGCCAGTGTAGAGTAGACTGCAAAGCCTCCCAAGTTCACCATTCTCCTCTCGTCCTCCGGCTTCGTTCTTGCAACATGCAGTTCGATTGAAGGCAGAAAACATCGAAGCATAACACAATCTAGCCAAACGACAGTTAGATGAATTACTCGATAGGGAGAGTCCAAAGAAGTTAAGGAAAAAACCACTGGTGATGAAGCCACAATGAAACTTGAACACACCGTTTTCTGAACAAAAAAGAAACTGAACAATACTTACCCCGTATAGAAATTATTATCATCCACTGTAGGTTGCTGTGAAGTGCGATGTATCACAGCTCCAAAATGATCGTGACACAATCACTCCAAGAAACTCTACAGTCATTCCAATAGTTGAAGGGTGCAAAGCGAACTCAGCGCAAGAACGAAGCCGGAGGACAAGAGGAGAATGGTGAGTCTGGAGGCTTTGCACTCACCCACCCCCTTTGTTGAAGTCCACTCTACACTGGCGCGCTCCATTGTAGACAGATCAACCACGGTAATCTGCTCGTTCGGTGAGCCGGACGAGTTATCTGTCGAGATATGGGAGGCGCTTGGGTGGCAACTACAGCGCATGCGCCCCAATGGCAATGTGACCGCGCCATATGACCGCCTCCCCAACTGCGACCTTCTCGTTCGAATAGTATGAGGATACGGTGACCCTGTTTGGACCTGCTGTGCATTGAGGGAAAGGGGGGGGGAGATAGCATCTCAAAGCAGGAGTCACGCTCACGCTTCCACTTTTTCGAAGCCACGCTCTCTCTCGAACTATCGACCCTCCATCATTGGAGTTTCTATAGTACTATTTTAATGCGTGCAACAAACTACAGGCCCAGACTGCGTTCAATGTCTTCCTAAATTCGTCGACAAAAACGCCCCCGCACCTTTCCTAAGAATGTTACCAGACTCAACCCAAGTACATGCCCCTTATCCAAAGGTTAAACACACCCCCCCCCCGTCTGGTATAATATAATGCGGCTGACCGCTTCACACGTGCCGCATTGATTCAATGTCTTAGAATGAAGGTCGAAGAAAGGGAAACTGACCTAGTTGAGGGACCCACGGACCTCCTGAGGGTGCGAACTGACGCGCAATTCGCATGGAAAAATTTGACCTCGGCGACCTATCATGCCTCAAAGCTGGCGGGTCCGGCGATCTCCGCCCACCGATCATCTGATCACTCGCCGTAGTTCAATACGTGGCGAGTGATTAGATAGCTGAGAGAGCGTAGTGTTGAAGAGGGCACAGCGATGAGAGTCGCATCAATGCTCGAATCAACGGGCAAGGAAGGGGTACCATTTCTCGGGTTCTGGGCCGTTTCTCATGGTTCTTCCTTCTTTCGTGTACCACTCACCATCCCTAGGTTAATTTGAAATGGGTTGCCTTTCCAGCGTGAATTCGTCCTCTTAAAGGAATATTTCTTGAGACCTCAATTCCTTTCCTATCCATCCAATCACCGGCTCCACAGCCTCACTAATTTGCACTCTCTGCTTGTCATCCTTCTTCATTTTCCTTTACCCAATGTCTACGAAAAAATTTCGTAGGTCCAGACAACGACAACCTTTCTCTGAAAACTCGGATAAAAAAATGGAATAGACATTAGAGGCAGTACATAGAGGTTTCGGCAGGCCCGACGAGCATTACATTTGTGTGATCCGAAGAGGGTAAGCAGAATGAGAAATATTTCTGAAAGTTGTATGGATTAGTATGCATTAGTTTGACGAACTACATTTTGCTAAAGAAATGAGCAATATTAAGTGATTCACAAAGTAATCCCTATCCAAGTATCTTCGTTTTAGATTTCGACACCTTCAGGTTAATCAAAAGCCCCCAAAAACTGAGTATTCGTGGAGCGCATATAGTAAATGCGCGGCGCTGCATATGATGCTACCAGCCAGCAAGTCGTAGAGATTCGTTCGATACAATATTCTCGTGCATTACTTTTTTTCGTTGCCGTAAGAGACCTTGTTTGGCAGCGTTTTTGGCGATGACTCCTAATGATTTGAATGTTTGTAAAAACTCGAAGAAACATGACAACCGGTTCCACGCAATCGAGAACACAACGGAGTTTGTGAGAAGATATTTGAGCGGAATCCTTTTCAAACCGCCTGCCCAGGATTGTCCAGAAAGCTTTGTGGCGGAAATACATTGATCGTTTCAGAAACGCAAAGATATCCCGAAGTTGCCGGCTTCCATTGCGAATAAAGTCGGAATCGTACATATCGACCGGAATTTCTACTCGCGAAAGCACGAATCTCGAACGTTATTTGTGAGAATTCATCACAATCCTGAGATTTGAAGGAGGGAAGCTATGATTACAGTTTGGGCATCGGTTCAAGTGCTGTAAACCACCACTTTCAGGAGATCCCTCTTCTTCTAAACTTCTGCTGCCATTCAAGGCAAGCCCTGGGATACAGTAGGTGTACATACAATAGCGTTCGTCATCGAAAGCGCTAAAATTAGGAGCTCAACCTTCAGTAAGGCGGATGTGGTACGAGGGCGAGACAGGGCGATCAGGATAAGCAAAAATAGACCCAGAGACGCGGAGAGGAGCTCGCTGATCTTCATGTCAGTTCCATCGGTGGGTGGGGAGCGTTCCAGGGGAGGGGGGGGGTCGATGAATGCAGGCTCATAAGGATTGGCACTCTATTGCGCAATGTGCAATGAAGCTGGCATTATCTATACATATAGGTATGGATCGCACAATTTCCCTCGCAATTCTTCCTAATAGCGGGCTTACCCCGGGGCTTGCCTTTAACTCGTTTTTTCGGGCTCTGGTAAAGGCGATCCCACCAAAACGTCAGCCGATAAAAGTTTCCAAGCAACCTCGCGTAGAGTTTAAAGGCACGCCCCGGGATTAGGCACGCTCGCCTGTTCCATCCCGGGGGTAATAGACAGGCGGACAAGCGTTGATGTCGCGCCGCTTAAAAGAAAGTAAGAGCCATTCAGAGAGTATTCTTTTCAGGCAAATTGAAAGGGAAAGCGCCAATTCTGCAGTGGATCGGTCGCGTCGAAATGAAGCAGTATCAGGATTGCCCAGTAGCAGTACGGGTGAGTAAACCAATTTGCTTTCCCTCCGCTCTATTTTTACTATTATAGCAAACTCATGGGTATATCCACGCCAGAATCGTTCTCTTACTTTATAGGTGCCGCGACAATTCGACGAACCAGAAGAGGATCAACTGTTCCGAGAAATTTCCTCAATGAGAAGACTTCGCCATCACGATCACATTGCTTTGTTTCTCGGTACATGTTTGCTCTTCGTTTTTTTTAGCAGAAAGCTTGAAGAAACCAGCACCTAAACCGCGTATAATTTTTGATGGTACCGGTAAGCAGGCTCAACCGTAGCGTTCGCACTTCAAAAAAGATTTTGCGACCCCCATCCTAGTCGACAAACTCAACTCCGCCCACATTTTCGATCCGAAACTTGCGCTGAGTGAAGGAGCGGAGGGGGAGGGAAGATTGGTACATATCATGTGGGCAGTTTCGACAATTTTTCCATTTCACACTTCGTTTTTAAAGTTTACTTCAAAAACGCCGGAAACTTCTCAAATGCAACCGCAACCCCCTTTCAACCCCAGTTCGCACTTTTCTAGTAGTTGACCTTACTCAAGTCAACCCCAGAATTCGACCCCTACCCTCTATCCAAATCATCAGCGACCCTCTCGTTCGAAAAATGCGAACTGACGGTTGACCCCGTCGGTAAGTAGTGTACGCACTGATTACCTCGCACACCCGGGGATCGTTCCTGGATCGTGCGATGATCATGGCAGCCACCCATTCCATCCCTTTCATCTAGGTTAAACGAGGATTCTATGCTAGGTTGT